CGGCGCGGCCTGTCCTCGGGCCTGTCCCCGCATCCCTGGGCTCTCCCCGAACCTGTCCCTACACCCTCGCCCCTGTCTTGGCTCCTCTCCTGCTCTCACAGCATTCCGGCCTGGCTGAGGGAGGAGATGCCCGGTAGCCCCTGGCGTTGCTCTGCGGTGTTCCACTACAGCCGAGAGCCTCCAGGCACTGGTCGATCCCATTGCCGCAGGGCAGCCCGTCTGCTCGCTGTTCTCCCCCGGGAGGGATGGGGGCTCAGGGCTCTGGCAGGGCCTTGGGGCCAGTAGCGCCTGGCATGGCCACAGTACCCTGTGTGATGCTAGGCCAGGCATGGCTCCAAGGTGTCCTGGGCGCTTCCAGCTCATGCTGTCCCTTCTCTGTGCCAGAGGGAGGTGGAGATCCTCATGTTCCTCAGCGCCATTGTCATGATGAAGAACCGGCGCTCTAGTGAGTCAGGGGACTTGGGGGGCTGGGGCTGCTTATGGGGTCTCCTCCAAGGAGCTGAGTGGGGGGGGTGTCTGGAGGACAAGATCCAGCCCTCCCTGAAGTTACCCTCAACCTTCTGGGGGCATCTGGCCCCATCCCTTATTCCTGTCTCCACATCACAGTCACTGTGGAGCAGCACATCGGGAACATCTTCATGTTCAGCAAAGTGGCCAACGCCATCCTGTTCTTCCGCCTCGACATCCGCATGGGGCTGCTCTACCTCACGCTCTGCATAGGTGAGCCTGCACATCTTGCTGCCTTGTCCTGGCTCCCCCTCACTGCTCTGGGCTGGAGGAGCTCTGTCCCAGGCCCAGCCAGGCCCTCCTGGCACTGGGGGGCTCAGGAATGACTGCTGTCATTCCAGTGTTCCTGATGACCTGCAAGCCACCCCTTTACATGGGCCCTGAGTACATCAAGTACTTCAGTGACAAGACCATCGATGTGAGTATCTCCCCAGCCCTGGGGCTTTTGGGGGGCTCTGCCCACCCCCCCTAAGCCCATGCCACTGTGGCAGGAGGAGCTGGAGAAGGACAAGCGGGTGACGTGGATCGTTGAGTTCTTTGCCAACTGGTCCAGTGAGTGCCAGTCCTTTGCCCCCATCTTCGCTGACCTCTCTCTCAAGTGAGTGGCACCCCCTGGAATCTTGGTGGGTAACAGGGCCTGTGGTCCCCTGCGTCCCTCACGTGTCCCCATCCTGCCCAGGTACAACTGCTCAGGACTCCAGTTTGGGAAGGTGGATGTTGGCCGGTACACGGATGTCAGCACCAGGTGTGGGGAATGCAGCCTGGGCAAGCAGGGCCTCGATCTGGGGCGGTCCCTGTGACCCCCCCAGCCCCCTCAGGCTGCCCGAGGGTCACTGTGGGCTTGTCCTCACACAGGTACAAGGTCAGCACCTCGCCTCTCACCAAGCAGCTGCCCACCCTCATCCTCTTCCAGGGCGGGACAGAGATCATGCGGCGGCCGCAGATCGACAAGAAGGGCCGGGCTGTGTCCTGGACCTTCTCTGAGGTGCGTGGGACCCTCCAGCCCTCTGCTTCCCTGCCCGGCCTGTGCCCGGGAAGAAGGGGGAGGTCCCAGGGGTGCTGATGCTACCTCTTGGCCACAGGAGAATGTGATCCGGGAGTTCAACCTCAACGAGCTCTACCAGAAGGCCAAGAAGCAGCAGAAGCCGCGGGAGGAGGGCCCTGAGGAGCCCCCAGCCGTGCCGGCGGCTGCGCCTCAGGAGAGCAAGAAGGACAAGTAGAAGCTGCCCTGTACTGTCGCCCATCACTGTGTCACCATCAGCCTGGTGGCAGCGGCCCCGCGGGCCTGCCCANCGGCAGGGCTGTGGCTGCTCCTTAGCTGGCTGTGGCAGCATGGTGGTGATGTGCGTGGCTGGGCTCTTCTTCATTCCCGTCGCTGGCCTGACAGGCTTCCACGTGGTGCTCGTGGCCAGGGGCCGCACTACCAACGAACAGGTACGTCTGAGGGACTGTGGGGGGACTGCCTGCTGGCCAGGCCACCTCGGGACACAGTTTGGGATTTCCTGGGACGGGTTGGATTAAAGCTGGGGGAGGCCTCTGAGCTGCAGAGGTGGAGCACAGGGTGACTGAGAGGCAGTTGCATTCATGGGGGTGCAGTCAGAGGATGGAGCCAGGCGGGCACTTCTGGGGCCCAAGAGGTGAAATTGAGGAGATCCGACCCCCTTGAGGGTATCTGAGCACTGAAACAGGCACTAGGAAAAGGAGCAGGATCTCAGAGTACCTCTGTGCTGGTCCTGAGGGGGTGTCCTGAGGGAGCTGGCGTGGCTGGCTGTGACACTCCTTTGTCCCACAGGTGACGGGCAAGTTCCGTGGGGGCGTCAACCCCTTCACCAACGGTTGCTGTAAGAACGTCAGCCGGGTCCTCTGCAGCTCCCCAGCACCCAGGTGAGCCTGGCCTCTGCATCCCTGGGAAAACTGCCCCATCCCAGGCTCCAGGCCATGACCTTCCTCCCCCCTCCCCAGGTACCTCGGGCGCCCGAAGGCCGAGCAGACGGTGCTGGTGAGACCCCCGTTCCTGCGGCCCGAGGTGTCGGATGGTCAGATCACTGTCAAGATCATGGACAATGGTATCCAGACAGAGCTGAAAAGGACGAAGGTGAGGAAGGTGGGGACCAGCGCTGCCTGCGCTGGGGCCCTCCACGGATCCCAGGGGTGCAAGCCTGCATCCGTGAGTAGAGAACCAAGAGAGCCTGGTCACGTTCCCTGTCCCAGTCCGTGTCGTCTTGTTCTATGTCCCCATGGGTTGGAAACTGTCCCCCTCCCATGTGGCAGTGACCACATGAGGCCTTGCCCCATCCATTGCCCTTACTGCTCCCATCCTTCCCCACCCTCTGGAGGTTCCCCCTCCTTGGCACTTCCAGCACCCACCCGGGGCACGCACTGCCCCCTGTTCTGTCGGATGCCCGGNCAGCTTCGAGGTGTCCCTGGTGAAGGAGGACGGCAGCAGTAAGTGCTGGGCTGGGGGCGGCGTGGGCTCCCCGGCACCCCTGATCCCATAAATCTCCTTTTTCTCTGCAGCCGTGGAGCTGTGGAGCGGTATTGGGAAGGGGCCCCCCCGCAAGCTGAAGTTTCCCCAGCCAGAGACCGTGGTGGAAGCTCTGAAGAGCAACATTGCATAGAGACAATGGCCAGGTGAGCAGGGATGGGATTGGGATTGGCATGGGATGGGACAGCAGGGACCAACTTCCTTCTCTCCACAGCCGAGCCAGGACCAGTGCAGGTGGCATGAGCATCCATGAAGAGGCGAGACCAAGTGGGGGGCACCTGCCAGCCCCAGTCCCGTCCCTGATGCTGCAGCTCTGCCACTGCCAGACCCCCGGCTCCCTCCACACCCCGTTGTCCCCCCAGTCTTCAATAAAGTTCAGTACTCCAAAGCATAGCTCTAGCACTTTATTTCAAGGACATACAGCGCAAGAGGTGCAGGCACTGGTGGGGGAGAGGCAGTGCCACCCCCCCTAGGTGAGGACATCCACCTCCTCTTCTGACTCAGATGAGGGGCTGGGCCAGAGGCAGACTGTGCCAGGGGGCAGGAAGAGCTCCCCTGTCCCCACATCCACCTCCTCCTCCTTGGTGTCACTTCCTGGGGTCCCTGGGGGTGCTGCCTGCTGGCAGCCCTGTGGGGACACAGGGGAGTCCCCACGCTTCTGTGTCCCGTTTGCACTGGGGGGCTGCCAGGGTGGGGAGCACTTGCTCACCTGCTCCCGTGCATCCTCATCCTGGGGGGGCTGTGCTTCTGTCCCCCCTACATCCCCTGCCAGCACTGGGGGAGGCACAGGGCGGGGCTGCGCCTCCCGCACCACCTCCCAGCACCCCCAGCGCTCCACCTTCCGCAGCCTCATCCGCCCGATGGGGCTGGGCTGTGAGGGCCCCACAGACTGTGCCTGCTTCTGGGGGGACACCCCAGAGCTGGCACTGCCAGGCTCAGCTGTGCTAGGTGCCACCACGGGGGAGACTTCCTGAGTGGAGTGCAGGCAGGAGCGGTCGAGCTGCCGCTGGGGTCCCAGCCTCACCAGGCGTCCTCCCCAGAGCTGCAGTGACTCGAGCTCGGTGACACGGAGGCGGCGGGCAGCCGCCAGCACCTCGTGCACCTCCTCCTGCGTGACCTCCAGCTCGGCAGTGTAGAAGAAGCGCACCAGCTTGCGCAGCACCCCGATCTTCAGCCCCGCCAGCTCCAGCACCACCCTGCAGCCCTGGGGGGGCAGCTCCCGGCCCAGTTGCTCCATGAAGAAGGGGCTGCAGACGGAAAGGACACTGCAGTGGGCCACCACTGCCTCGCCTGCAAAGCAACAGTGGCTGTTACTGCCCTGCAGCCCTTCCTGCTCACGCCAGTGTTTCCTAGGGGGGTTGCAGAGACCCTGCCCGCAGCTCCCTCGGTGGTGCTGCCCGCTCACCTTCAGCCCACAGGACCACATCGCAGAAGACGTCGGCTCGCTGCTGCTGCTGGTGGAGGTGCTGGAAGGCGGTGCGCAGCAGGCGGGTGCTGCGGTACAGCAGCTGCGGCGAGGCTGTGGGAGACCCCATGGCCGTCCTGCAGGGACACACAGCGCCGTGCTGGGGACGCGGGGACCAGTGCCTGCCTGCCCTCTTTGGGCTGTCACAATGGTTTGGGGCTGGGATGTGGCGGGGCCGATGTTTGCAGAGCCCCGTGTGCCCATGCCCTGTGTCCGCGCTGTCCCCGCACTGTTCCCGCACTGTCCCGGTGTCCGCCCCGGCCCCGCCGCCCCGACCTCCGCGTGTCCGCCAGGGGGCGCCACAGCGGGCGCCGTGAGGCCGCTGCACCCTGAGGCGCCCCCGGCCTGGCCCCGCCGCCGCCCCGGGCCTGCCCGTACCTGCCGAGGGGGGCGCGGGCCGCCGCCGAATCGCCCCGAGGGTGAGTGCCGAGCTCACGGCGCGGACGCGGGGGGCGGTGACCGGGATCGGGGCTCTGCGCGCCCTCGCTTCGCGCCCGCGGCCTCACGTGGCGCGGCGGCCTTGGCCCACCCATTGTCCCGCCCGCCGGCAATGGCGCCCCGGCAGCCAATGGCGGCGCGGCGGGAACGGTGTGGTGGCGGTGGGGGGGAGCGCGCTGAGGCGGCACCGGACGGCAGTGGGAGCGCTGCTCGGGACAGATCCGCCTGCTGTGACCGACCCCTTCCCGCAGCCCTCCCGCAGCCGCGGTGCCCCCTCTCTGCCGAGGCGCTGGAGGCACCGCTCGGGGTTTGCCGTGTGATGGCGGCTGCGCTGAGGGTAGCCTGGGTGCCCCTCATCCCTCTGTCATCCGCATCGGGCTACGGACACGACAGCCAGGCCAGGGCTGCTTGTGGTCACTGCAGTGGTGGCACCGAAGAACACGAGGTCGATAATGGGAAAGGTGCTGTCTGGAGCAGCTCCGGGTTTGAGGGCTCAGAGCCCCGCGATGCACCTTGGTTTGGATTTTCAGGCTCCACTGTGCCCTCTCGTGTGAGGATCGGTGTTTTTGTGCCCCAGGCTCCTGAAGGGGAGGATTGATGGGCCTTTGGAAGGCATCCTTCAAGCAGGCAATGCTGCCCACTTAGTTTGAAAGTATTTTGTCACTTTATAAAGCACCCATTGTACAAACATCTGCGTCAGTCACTCCACATACACGAACAAAGATTATAATCCATCCCCATCGCCTGGAGACAGTGGCTGTTCCTACAAACAACCCAAGTGGGTGGAAGTTTCAGAAGCTGCAGAAGGACAGGAGCCTAAATGTCGCCATAGAGTTTAAATATACAAAGTCTTCAAATGTGGTCTTGCAGAGGGATTTTCATCTGGTTGGACATGTGAGGGTGGTTTTTCTTCTCTGTTTTTGCAAAATGGACACAAACCAAGGAGGAAAGTGGCTGATGCCAGGCCTGGGCCAGCGGCCTTTGAGGTCACTGGCAGTCTGTCACTGCCCCCGGTGGCTTGGAGCCCAGCCCGGAATACCAAGGGATGCAGCAAAACAAGTAATTTCATATCAAAGTGCTATCATATGCTCATAAAAATAGAAGGAAAATAGAGATGTTTCCTCCCCCACTCCTTGCAATCCTTTGGAATTACAATGATCGGAGCTGTCGCCTGGAAAGCCTGACCTCACTGGGATGGATGCAGATGCCATGCAGTGCCCTGTGACAGTGAGTGGGACCACAGTGGGACAGGGGCACCCACATTCCAGCGAGCAGGGCTGGGGTGCTGGGGTTTCAATGTTCCAGCACTAAACCCTGCCAGGCAAAGCCCCCACTCCAGTGTACCCCAACAGCTGCAGCGCTGCTTCCCCTCCCCACCAGTGGCCTTGTCTGCCCTTAAAATTCACTGATACTTGAACTGGCAAGCGAGCAACCACTCCCATTGTAGGTACACAAAAGAGGCCTTTTATGAGTGTCATTTTCACTAGTATCCAAAGCCAAATAATGTAGAGTGGAAAAATTACCAGCAGCCTTTGGTCCCTCTCTCTAAACTCCATTTATGCTACCAGATTTTCCTGGAAAAAAGTATGGAATTGCAGTTTTCACTGCAAAACCTGTCAGACCCTGAATCCTTCTGTCTACCTTCAGGTGCTCAGAGGCTGCAGATCTGCAGCACACCTGGTGTCCTTGGCCATTGGCTCATGGCTGGGCACAACCCTGGGTGACTCAGAGGGTTGGGAATGTCCAGCAGGGCTTATCTCCCGGTGGGATTCACTGCACAGGGGAAGGCAAGGCCCAAACTGTGCTGGCTGTTCAAGCTCCCTCTGCTATTGATAGGAGGAGAGGCCTCCTCACAGGACAAATCTCGTCTTTCCAGTGTCTCCCAAGCCCTCAAATCAGCA